TAATATGTATTTTTACTCCTTTGAAGTACCTTAAAAAACAAATTAAACACAAAAACTTAACATTCATGTATTTATCAAAATCATATAATATAAATAAGTTTATAATATAAGATCTATCTCAATAATTCTCTAATTATCGTAAATATTCATAAAGGTGTATAACGGAAGATTGCTTTAAAGCTAATTGTCTTAATGAGGAATATTATTCAATTAACTTTTTTTCTATCCAAAATATGTGTTGAAATGTATTATTGCCGTACTTGTGCTTTAAATATGAATTATCCAACTCAACTTATTAAATTTTTATATTGAAAAAGACCACATAGGAAGATATCGTTTTAAAAACTGAAATCCTTTCATCTTCTCCTTTCCATTGATTGTGTAGCAACGTTGCGAAAGTATGGCACGTGTTGGGTAACATTTGTGTTGATTTTTTAAGGATAAATAAACAAGTGAAAAGGATAAAAATGTAACAGATTTCAAAATATTTGCACAGCATAAATTGCTGATAATTGAGGAATTGAAGAAGCACTTATAATTTTGTTAAAGTATTGATAAATCATTTACCCTAGTACTTATTTTCAGAACAAGGATACTTAAAAGGGAATACTATATTGTATCAAAAACAAAAAATTAATTTAATAACCCCTCATTTGACTCTCTCGAAGAATTTGCAACTGTCACCAACTTAGCTAAAATTCTTGTCCTCTTCAGTTACACGAATGCAGACATCTGCAGATTATTAGTTGTGAAAGACTTTGTCTAACTTGGAACTAGTATAGACTTCAAAAACTATACCAGAGTAAAGTTTCAACTAAGAATTATATAAGTAAATGAATGTTACTTCGATATAAGTAATTGAAAAGTAAACCCTTAATCGAACCACACTTTGAAAGCTGTTTCTCATGCCGTCCAAAAGACTTAAGTTGATATCAAATCAAATCAGATTAAATAATAAATTTTGTGGACTATTTAGCATTATTGATATAGTTAAGCATATTAATAATCAGTTGCTTCAATAGCTTAGTCTTATCGTACGAATAGATAAAAATGCTCCGCTGATGGAAAACACGACAAAGTAATCTACATCTACAGTAAAAGAACCGGGTTATTTTAAAGCACTCGTTACTACGAATTGGTGACATCTACAATTAGTCACCGATCGGTCAATACACACCTGTAAAGATCAACTAAGCATGTAAGCAAGTTGGTCCAAGATTGATCATGACTTTAGACGGTGAAAAACCGCTGCGCTCTAAAACTATTCGGCACTCAATATAATGGACCGATAATAAAACTTTCTAGACAAAATTCCCATATATTCTTATTTGGTTTACTGCTTCACTGATTCCAGATGAGCCAGAAACCCAATATATTCCTATACATATGCTTCACATGTTTTACGATCACGAATTATTCATAAAATAATTTTTAAATAATATTAATATAATATAAATATACAATATATTTTTATTATATAGATATACGGTATTCAATTTTGTTTAAGTACAGACAAAAGCAAAATAAATTTAAAAAATAACCAATGTATAAAAATAGCCTTCCTTAGTAGAACCTGGTGCCTAAATTCTAGTATACTCAATACTCTGTTCCAATGTAACGTATGAATGACTTGCTTGAAAGAACAAGGCGACAAGGCGTTTATATAAACGCTTTTGAAGCGTACCTGACCCGCCATTGTAGTGGAATTTATTACCTCTACAAAGAGACGTATTCTTTGTATTAAAAAGACAACAGCGTTAAGTACTGCAAAACTGCACACTATTACTTGTATGCATAAAAGTCTAAATATTCAAAACTCTATTTGTAGACTGATTTTTGGCTTAGAGATCTGCGATAAAGCAGATCAAAACTCGATGTCCTCAATTCCTATCAAACCAAGCTAATAAGACATACTTAAAATGGCAGTAAAGTGATTGTATTTAGTAGAACAAAAGGTGAATCTGTGCGCCTTAACCTGGGTTACTATTGCAACAGAATAGGTCTACATATACATGAAGACAGTATCTCAACTCTCCTTAGTAACATATGCGACCTCTAGCCACATTCTTTGTAACTCAGTGGCTCTGATTTATATCAGATTTACCAGTTTGACACTACACAATCGTCAATGAATGACATTTTGACATTCATTCTAAAGTTTGAGCTCCTTTGGTCAAGGTCTATTGTTATTCTTATAGATTTATAGTATGTATAGTATTCTGTTAACTTCTATTTCTATGCATAAAAAATTGCAAAAAAAACTAACTAGGATACGTATGTTGTGTAACATGTGTGTGTGTGAAAACGCAAACGCACATTTTAATGGAAAAAATTAATATCGTTAATATTCTCTAAAAGCATATAAAAATTTATTATTTCAAAGAACTTCAAACGAAAACAGAAATAAAAAAAGATGGTCCTGTCGAATAGGCCACCTTCTTATTCTCATAGTATTCGGGTGAATTTCAGTGTCTTTTTAATATTACGGTCTTTGCAATACGGTCGTTGCTATTACGGTCTTTCACTTTATATCAAAACGATATTTGTTCGAATATAAATGCCACTAAAGCTTAGCACATACAACAACCACTCAAACAATTCTTATTGGTATTCAAATTAAAATATTTGACCACCAGGGGAAATTCAATTGCCAAATGAAATGAGCTACAAATTTTAGTATTTATTTTAATCACTGAACAAATAATAAGGCAAGAAAAGTTTAAAAATATTACAATAAAATATTATATCAAACAAACTCTAGAAGACAGTTCAATATTAAATTTTTCAATATGAAATTTGTGTAATCTACCCGCCCTTTTTGTCAGTAAAGGTCCAATAAATATGATAATACACACACCTATTATGACAGAAGCTTATAGAGCATAAATCTATAAGATGTCATACAAGCGCAGTATTAATTTGAATCTAAATAAATAATAATCTTGTACAGTGATATCTTACTTACTAATACGGAAACTTAAACTGAAGTCTTTAGACTAGAGATGAAATGCTCGAGATCTCTAAATCTAAATCTGTAAGCGACCATCTTTCAAGCAGAAACATATGTAATCGATGTGTATTTACTTTGATCTTGAACATAAATACTAAAACTAATAAATAGCCAACTTAATACCCAGCCAGGCAATTATTCATTTGAACGAACTACGACCTGTAAAACCTTCATCACAACATTTATATTATTCAGCGAATTAACTTCTATTAGTTTCATTGGTTTAGTCATATCGCGAAAACGGATTAAAATTCTACAGTGAAAAAACCGTTTAAAGCGGCAGTAGGCGATAGAGACATAATTACAGACTATGTCTCCGGTGAACTGATCAATTTAAGGAAGCTCTAACCACGCTAGAGGTACGTGACTCGAAAGAGGTGCAGGCAGCAGAGGCACCTGCAATGGAGTTCTACGGCAAGCTGAAACCTGAAAACTGTTCGTGCTGACCAATTTAGTAAGTGACATTCATATAAAGAAATTCCAGATATTAAGTTTTTTTTTTTTTGGAAACAATGCAATAATAATTCTTTTTTTTTTTTAGAAATTATAACTTTAAAAAATAGATACATTATACTTTTATATACGGTACATATATATTCATAAGGACATTATTTATCTTACATATATTCTCGAAATCCTCAGGTTTAGTACGGAAGGTACGGGTATTTGACTTTGTTGACAAAGCATTTTTTTGTTAAAATGTCTCAAAACTTCTGCTCATATGATCACATCACTTGATTGTATTTTTGTTAACGACATCATTTCGCATCCAGCAAAAAGAAAACAAACTATGGATCTCAATTGTGTGTGTAATACTTTATGAGATCCATATGTGATAATACGAAATGCGAGTATGAATTAAATACGGACAAGTGCCGGCATTTAGTTTACTTACTATGTGAACACATCAAAATCGCTCGTGTGTGGAGTAACCGCAAGAGAGCGAATCCATTGCCATATGCAGTACCGTATTTTTTAATAATTAGAATACTCAGGAATTTGAAAAAAATCCATCTAAGTGCGCTACTGACACACAAGCAGAAACAGAAATCTCTCATATGAATAAGAAAATTGATCTCAAGACTCATGAGTTCTGGAGTCCAAAACTAAATATTCATATTCAGCCAGTTTAGTTGTCCGTCAGCAAAGCGATGAAGTGCTTTGTTTTATTGAAATTAAAATAAAAATTATTTTTATGAATTGTGTATGTGCCTGGTTATCTGTAGAATAGAAAATTTAATTGCATTTATCATTAAAAAACATATGGAATGCAAGCGTTTGGAATTCATTGAAGAATAGCCAACCGTATATGAGGCATTAAGAACTGTGAAATTTTAAATCTTATGTGTGCATTACTGTATTTAAAATATTAAAAATGGTGAGAAATTTTCAAATTTAGAAACAAAAACCATTAAAACATGATATTTTTTTGAAACAGATAAGATTTTTTTACGCATGATGTGTTCTCAGTGGACTTCTGTCTATTTGTTTCATACTTCAATGAGTTAATGTCTTGTTAATGTACAATGTATACTCTTATCATATATATATATATATATATATATATATATATATATATATATAAAAACTTAGGAAATATTCATTCGCAGTAAAGATAAAATTATATTTTTAATATTTTTGAGGAACTAAAATCATTATATTCCTTACATTACTTACCTACTCATTTATGTAACTACTCATTACAGACGTATGCGGGTCTTGACCATATGAAGTATCCTCCGCTAGTCAAACGGTTATTTTTGTTCACCTAAAGAGACTTCAACTTTTTAATAACCGACTAAGTTCATACCAGAACCTGTGGGTTATTCAGTTCTTTTCTTATTTGAATAATTATTAAAATCGTATATATGTCTACGACCGTGTAAATTATCCCCAGCTAGTCAAATAGTTTTTTATTCGTCAAATGAGCTTTCGATTTCTAAATTCAATATAGTAAGTCCATAGTAGCATGTTGACCACATAAGGCACCTTCAGTAAGAGCTCGATTTTTCAATTGCATACAAAGCACATAGAAACACCTATTGGTGATACTTTCCTTGTTATCAAGGATGCTGCTACTGACATTATTATTATATATGACATGACCAAAAATAAAAATTCAAGAACTTAGTGTGATCACAGAAGATTTTCAACTAATTCTATCACGCGCTATAGCTCTTAGTTCACTGAAAGATTTGCCCGATTCTCTGTTGATTGTCCTTCTCCATATATTATTCGGCCGACCGCGATTTCTTCTTCCTTGCAGATTGTATTCTAGAGTGGCATGTGCAATTCGCTGATGGATTTGTGTAGTGTGTGCCCCAACTATATATATATTTAGTTTAAAAGATATGTCGTCCGTTGATGATCGCTTTTGTTACTTACGTATTAATTACAAATATTAATAAAAGCATCGTTTTCTTAGAATAAAAACTGTAAAGTACTCCTTCAATTGATCCCATTACTTCTATGTCTGCCAACGATTATGGGCGCAAAAATTCTGGGTCTGTTTGCTCATCCTAGTGAAAGTCACTTCTCTGTTATGCAAACGGTAATGTTGGAATTGGCTAAGAGGCAACACACTGTAAGTAACCAATACTCGTATTATAATGACAACTGTGATGAGATACCTTAAATATGCTTATACCTTTAATTAAGGTAACAATTTACAGCAGCCATCAATTAAATGAAAGCAGAGAGAACTTAACTGAAATTTTTGTGGGACCTGAATATCCTTTTTGGCAAAAATGTAAGTCATATTAAAGAAACGAATATTTACTGATTTGAACCTATCTGCAATATCCACAGTACAAGCTAAAGCTGGTGTTAAAAGCTTACAAGAACTTAGTCAACTGTCAGAAGATAAAATACAAAAGGATCTGGGTTTCGTTGGCGCTGCAGCTACCGATTATTTTCTCTCCCACACAGCTCTACAAAAATTACGTAGCACTACGCAAGCAGATTTTGATTACGATATTATCGTTGTGGATCTATTTTACACAGATTCACTGCTAGCCTTTGCGTATGCATATAATAAACCCGTAGTCGGTATTGTTAGTTCAAACTTCGAGAATTACATGCAGCACGTACTGGAATATGTAATGCCTGTGGCATGTTCACCTATTGATTTTGAAACATATGAGAAGAATATTGGATACTGGCAACGTTTAAGCAATACAAGAAGCTGTCTTAGTCGGAAAAATCTCTTCAGCAAAAATAACATTAGTCCACAGCAAGAATTGATAAAAAAACATTTTACTAATTTGAAAGGTAAAGTTTCCAAAATTAAATTTTATAACAAAAAGAAAGAAGAAAATGTATTTTATATCATTTGACTAATATTTTGTTTCTTTTGTAAAGATGATATGCCCACCATAAGTGAGTTATACAATAAACTTGATGTTTTGCTGCTTAACAACTACCCACCACTGCAAACTCCACGCCCAATGCTACCCAACATAATTGCAGCAGGTGGTCTGCACATTCGACCCCCACGTGAACTGCCATGGCACATCAAACGCTTTTTGGATGAATCACGTTCCGGTGCCATTTACATGAATTTAGGAAACGAACAATTTTGTGCTGAAATACCAAAAGAGAAACTGCAGACGTTGTTCAATGTGCTGGGTAAGTTTAAAGGGCACATCATATGGACTTGCCACGATGTAGAAAAAATCGAAAATATGCCCAAAAACATGTTGATACAGCATGCCGTTCCGCAGACAGACATACTTGCGCATCCACACGTGAAAGTATTTATTATGAATGGCGATTTACTTAGTTTACAGGAAGGCATTATACGGCATGTACCTATGCTGGGCATACCAATATTTCGAAATGAGTTCCATAATGTGGAATTAGCAGAGCGTCTAGAAGTCGGTCTTAAAATTATTAACTCAAACCTCACCGAAAATTCACTTACTTGGGGATTAGAAAACCTACAAAACAATGCTGATTATCAAATAACAATTCGAAAAGTGTCCACCACCTTTCGCAATCGACCGTTGGGTGCATTGGAGACCAGCATGTTCTGGATTGATTATGTGCTCCGGTACAATGGTGCCGATGTAATTAAAACAAAAGGCATAGGAATCTCTACAAGGCATTTACATTTGATGGACTTGTGCATTTATTACGCTATCATAACTTTATTTATAGTAACTATTTTAATTGGTCTATATTTTCTGGTTTTTTATATTTTGAAGCGCAACAAATTGGAAAAAATGTACTCAAAACTTAGTTAAAAATAAAAATTAAAAATTTTAAAAAATTTTCTCTTTGTGATTTAATTAATGTGGGTAAGTAAAATATTAATTTTAAATTAATAATACTGGATTGATTATTTTATTAGAAGAAATAACGATATATTTTAATAATAACTGAATGGTGCTAATAGTACTAATATTTTAATATAAACACATTTGAGTAGATTGAGTAGTAATTACCTATATTAGATAAGGTTGGAATGACGGCTTTATAAGACAAAGCCCACTTGAGCTCAAATATTAGGCCGTTGAGACTCTACGGAGTCTTTCTGTTCATACGTAGAACAGAAAGACCTAGAAAGAAAGTACAAACAACACTGAAATGCACGACTCTCATACTCAAATGAAAGTAAACCAACCTCATAAGTCTTTGAACTTCGCTAAGTCCCCAATTTTATAGTGTGACAGATCTGTCAGGTCGGTAAGTAACGGGAACCTGCAAATTTTTAATCTTCTTTTCGTGAAA